CGATAAAGCGTCGGGCGATGTGAATTTTACGTCGTCCAAGGGCGATTTTGCGTGTAGCTAGGGCTATTTGCATCGAGCAAAAAATTTTTTGTTTGAGTATATTTAAAGATATTTTTGAGCGGAATTTTAATGAAGTAATTGACGATTATTTTAACATTTAATAAAGTATTTTAAAAACCGCATGCAGTTGAAATAAAAGTTTGAATTTAAAAAAATTAAATATGCTCATTATTTTCAAGTAGAAAAAACTCAAAAATTAAAAAAAAAAGTTTAAATCTTTTAAGCTAACATTTTAATAAAATTATTCAGCAATAGCAACGTTGTCGATAAAATTGAACAAAAATACTTTCTTTTAGTTTTAGATTTTAAACTTAAATAATTATTTTACAGGGGTTTGATAGATTTTAAAATTATTCCATAGATTTAAAAATATTTATTAACTGTTAGACGTATTTAAAGTATTTAAGAGTGATTTCGAGGAAACATTTTAAAAATTGCTGAGGGCAAATAAAAAAAAAAAAAGATTAATATTAAAACGTATTCTACTTGATTCAATGAAAAAGTACAGTTATTAAAATTTTTGTAAAAAGTAACTCAAAAAAATTACTTATACTAAATAATAACGATCGCTTTTATGTTAAAAGTTACCGAAACTCAACGAAGCGTGCTCAAGAACAGCTGCTGAAAAATAGAACGTCAATAGTTTTTCGAATAATTTTTAAGAATAATTTTTTCGCTAAAATATTTCTTTTATACCTATAAAATTTTTATTCTAACATTTTATTTTATTTTACTAGAAAGAAAATTCCTTGTTAACATTAAAAATCTATTCAAAACGTTCGTTTAAGTTTTTTATTAATACGAGTGATTGTGCTTATCAACCGCTTTATGAAAATAAATAAAAATAAATAAATAAATATTATATAAAATCGCTTGTAAAAATATTAGCTATTGCACAGTTTTTAATCGTACAATATTAAAATTTCCAGTTTATTACTCGCTGACTTTTTAAAAAGAAAAAATAATTATTTGAAAAACTTTAAATTACATATTTAAGAAAAAAAAAAATCAAACATTAGCATATTTTATAATCTTTTTTAAATTTAAGTTATAATGTTTTTTATTCGTTTAGTATAGACAAAACGTGACAAACTCAAGAAAATAAACAAATGTTTTTACATTTTAAAAAACGAAACATTCCAAAACATTTTTAAATAATAACATTTCTACATAAACGATTTAAAGTAGTTTTGCGGTAATTAAATAAATTGGTGCAGTTAATGTCGATAAATATGAAAAGCAAATAAAAAGAATTTAATGACGTCAAAAATCACGTCGTGCTTATGCGTCGCGCAGCTCTTATTCATCGCAAGGCCTGTATATATATATATATATATATATATATATATATATATATATATATATATATATATATATATATATATATATATATATATATATATATATATAAACTTACTTTATATATATAAAATAAGTTTTTTTATAATGACAAAAACTTCCTCTTGAATTATTTTAACTTTTATTTTAATTCATTAGGTGTACCTTTTGTATCCAAAAAAGTAGAAAATAAACTCAATAATATTCTCATTCTGATCTTTTTAATTGTGAAGTAATTTGCTTAAATTTCAGAAGAAAAAAAAGAATGCCTAAACATTTGAAACCAATATGTATACTATTAGAGGCAATACCTGTTTTATTTTTTTAACTCTAATACACTTTCAATTCAAAAATTATATTTTTATTACTATGATGAAACTGTTGGAAACAGATGGTTTGATGTTGTATGTTCTATGCTGCATGATTTTAAACTATCAATTATCTTGAATGTAAAGGATATCAAATTGGTTTGCAATTTATGTGCTACGCAAAATACAAAATGAAAAGTTTTAATTTAATTTTATTATCTAGAAACATTAGACAATCTCACAAAAAACTATAGCAATTCAATATTGTATATAAACATGATACAAGAAAAATCTCTGAAATTTGCAGAGTTTTAAAACCAAACTTCTTTGTTGTCTGTTTATTTAAGACATGTTCACTTAGAGAAATTGAAATATTAAAGGCTAGTTAAAGTTTAATTATATGGAAAAATGGAAAATTTTAATTTTATGTGTGTTACATTTCATATGTTTAGATCAATGATCGAAGTGCCTGATAAACTGAAACAAGCAAACAGCTCTGTTGCCTTTTTTTGTTAAAAATGTAAAGACTTACTTAAGGTAAACATTTTCTGAATGGACAAAATAAGACATTTGATCTTATTTGATCTTTTTTTTTCTTAGTTTATTTTATTTTTCTTTGAAAATTAATTTTGTGTTATTAACGTTGTGTTCACAATTGGTTCAAATCAAGTTTGTATAAACCATATGTATGGCTTGTTTAAACCATACATATGGTTTGTATAAACCATACATATGGTTTATACAAACTTGATATAAAGTGATGGAACACAAACATCAAGGAAATCATCTGTGGTAAATAGATAAGGTTGCAATGTTATTTTGTATAAAGTTAAATAAAACTTTCATATAATATTTTGTTTGAATCTTTTTTTTATTAAAAGAGAGAGAGAGAGGGGGGGGATGGCTTTATTATCCCATCACACACTTAGTACGTTGTAGTTGTATATTACAATGTGTTACCATCTACCTTTAAAAAAATAAGTTCTCAAAAAGGTTACAAGCTAACGTAATTTTTGTGTTGATGAGTTTACAACAGAAAAAACACTGTCCAAAATGAGTGTCTTGCTTTCAAAAGAATACTGTGAATAAATAATTCTTGTGTTTAGGAGTTAAAGAGTTGAGAGAGGGTTGTAACCACAATAAAGTAGCCTCCTCAACTGAAGTGGGCTTCTCTGGCCACTACTACTCATTTAAATTCACCTTGGGATGAATAACACAAAAGATTAAAAAATCTCAATCGATAAAAATATTTGAAAAAAAAATTGTAATAATGTATTACCAAATAATGATTCAAATATTAGTAAACCTACACTGATAGCTGTTATTGTTATAATAGTTAATAATAATTTAGTTAATAATAATAGTTATTAATTATTTTAGTTAATAATGTTATAGTTATATTGTTTAAGTTGGTTAAAATAGTTCATAAACTTATTAAATATCTTTAAAAAAACCCAATAAAACCCAGATTTCCATGGGTTTTATTGGGTTTTTTTAGGCAGGTTTTATTAGGTGGTTTTTTTTGGGCAGGTTTTTTAATGCCAACCCTGTTTGCATAACACCCACATAACATTTGTATATAAACATGCATAAACAAGGTACGTCATTAAATGAAAATTTTACAAATGTTATATTTGTAAATGTTCTTAATTTATAGTTTTTGACAAGTATTTTTATGTCATACGATGTGGTAATGTGTGTTTTTATTATGTGTTATATAAGGCTATATGGGTTTATATTTTGTTAGTGTTTCTATGTGTGTGCTTTTAGTAGTTAAAATATGAATAATAAACTCTGGATAACTCAATAACCCTTAACTTAAACTAATTCTAAAATTTTAACTGAGCTTTTATTTTATTAACATTGAAACGTTTACTAACATGACCATTGATTTTATTTACAGATTATACTCACAACAACTCTAACATTCTCTAACAAGCTAATTTCTTGGTTCTTTTAAGGTTTAAGTAATTTAGAATTTACTGTAATATGTTATACTATTTGTTAATTTTGTGATGCTATTGTTGTGTTGATAGATGATTTGGTTTACTTTCATGCCAGGGTCTTTAGTTTAAAATGATTATTGGGTAGTTTCATTACTGAAACTGACTACATATAATCATTCACTAAAAGCTAAGGAATCAATTTTCAAATAAAAACTAAGGTTTATCTTATTGTAAACATTTATTTTTAGCCTTGTTTATTTAAAAAAAAGTCGTTAATCCAAACTTGCAATAATAAATCTTGAAACTTAAAAACGCTAAAATGATGCTTGATACTCTTCATACCATTTACTAAAAGATAATAACGAAAAAATATTTCTATTTAAATTGTTTTTATAAGTATTTTTGATACTTTTTTATGTTGAATATAAAATTTTTTTGTAGTTTTTTTTTATCTCAAGAAAATTTTTTAGTTTGTTTCTCATATAAATTTCTATATTTTTTATCTTTGAAATGTTTTGAATGGATATATAGGCCATTTTTGCTTTGTTTTTTTTATTTCCGTTATCTTTTTATAATTTATTTGCCTAACTCTATTTTGCTTTAACTCGGCAGTACAAACGGTTTAACTAAATGAATTTATTAAAGGTTTTTTACAAAAAAGCTTTTATAAAAAATATTAAACAAATAAAGCTAACTTATTTGAAATAACTAGGTCTCTTTAACCCCTTTTTTTAATATCCAAATTTGTTTTTTAAATAGATCTTAATGAGACGGTTAAGGTATTATTATCAAGCCTAAGTTTCCAAAAACACCTAAAGAAATGTTGCGCAGCTGTCTAAGCTGTAGATACTTTTATTATGTAAAAAATATTGAAGTAAATAAGTAATAATGTAATAAGTATAAACATTAAATAAATATTAAATAAAATAATGTAATAAGTATAATACTAAATAAGTTCTAAAGTAATGTAAATTAATTGCAAACCAAAAGAACTTTAGGTAGCTGGTAAAATGTGACATTTTAATGAACACAACAGTTATAATAATTGAAAAACATTTGGTCATCAATTTTTTAAATAAAATATGGTATTTGATATAATTTCTTTTAAATTAGACTGTATTTCTTTTAAATTAATTATAATTTAACAAACAATATATACATGATTCACTGAAAAGTTCTTATTTTATCTACTGCCAGAACTTTAATTGGATTTATTTTTTGCTGTTTACGAAAATAAATTAAAGTATACTAAAGTAGACTAAATAATGAACAAATTAAGAAATAGTAGGGTAAAACTGTAGTTTTTATAATATATTTATAAATATTAAGAACTTAATAAATGAAATACCATCAGGCAATCCTGCTTCTTGCAATACTTTAAAAAAATGATAGTTTGATAATATAGCTGTATCAGAGGGTTTCCATAACACCACATTGCCCATTAAAACTGGAGCTGAAGCTAGATTTGCTCCAATTGCAGAGAAATTGAAAGGGCTTATTGCAGCAACAAATCCCTTAAAAGTTTAAAAAATAAAAATAGTGTGTAAAGTAAAAAGCAATAAAAATACAATTTTATCATTTCTCCTAATAGTCACCTTATCCCTCTTACTAGCAAACAAACAAATAAATGTACTAGCTGTAACTAGTGCAGTTAAAATGTTCTTAGCGATTAAGTTTTAGCTCATCTGCATTTGGTACATGTGTTATGGTTTATTATGGTTATGGCTTCCCCCTAAAGAGTAAGTGTTTTGTGTTTTTATTGTGCTGAATGACACGCTGAAGTCATGTGTGCTGCTTATACTTTTATGTTCATGTTTGTATTTATGTTCATGCTGCTTATACTTTATGTTTTTTATGTGTGCTGCTTATACTATACATAATTTACTTTATTACACTATGCAGCTTTTATTTTGTTCTTTTTGATACAACTTTGTTTAGTAAACCACTCTTTTCAACCACTTTTCATTTCATCACTCTTTCAAGTTTTTTCCTTCACTGAAGCTTGACAGCTCAGCCTAGCTTTTTTTGATATAAATACTTACATTTTATTATCTATTTATGTTTGGACTAGGGAATTTCAACGACTTTTAACACAATATTAAAAAGCACCTTTAGTTCAAAAAAGATATTTTCCAGTATATTTTTGAAGATAAATAATATTTGTTTTCAATAAAACAATAAGAACTAAACAAAAACAGAATTGCACTTTACAGTCTGTTCTGGAAAAAATACCACCAATAAGGAACTCATCTTATGATTCTGAAATAATGGATTTACAAGAAAATAGACCCAGCCTAAGTGTTGCTTCCTCTTCATTTCATAACTCTAAAGTTGGTTACTGCATTAAATGTCAGTTAAGTGTGAGAGATTCTGTATTTAAAATTGAAGCTACTATTGACGTACTAGGGCATAATGCAGATGACTTTTCAATAAGCAAGTCCACAATCCATAGAGTTTGTGCAGAAATGCAAAGAGAGTGGGCTGAAGCTATAAAAAATAATTTTCAAAACAATATCTCTGATACAGTAACTGGTGGAGATACAGAGAAGAAATGACTCTCGCTATCCACTCCAGGTGCTATGCACCAAGTGGATAGCAAGAGTCATTTATTTGTTAAAAATATCATTATTAAACTTGCAATTCAGAATTTAATATCAAGATAAGGCAGCTCTGTTTGATGTTTATCTGTTTATTGTAACATCCTACATCAAATTCGGGCTCCAATGCATTTTAGCAGTAAAAGCACCTTATCAGGACTTATGCTTTTTAAAACAATAGATAAAAGCATTTCCAAGCATTACAAGCATTGTAAGCTTCACAGAAGTTTTGCCAAAATTTATGGTATTTGACATATGAAGTGTCTGTTTTGTCTTTATTTGACGATGATGTTGATTAAGAAACTAAAGTAAAACTAACTTAACTAAAGAAAAGCCATTAGCAAACGATATGTTACATTTTACCCAAAGAAGAATCTTGTGGCCCCCTTTTTGGTATGTCTTATAGGTAAATTATGCTTCAATTTTTTTCTATAGCTTACCATACAATTAATAAACTTTTCTTCTGTTTTAAATTCAGAGAAAAACATCTATGACTTTATCTCTATCAAAAACAAGTTCCTACTTAATTGACTTAAAATTGATGACAGTTGTCTGAAGAACAGCCCTTCTTTATGCTGATTTATTCCTACAAGCTAAATAGAAACTATTGAAACTGAGAGCAGTTAATGATACAAAAGAAAGAACAGTTAAATTAATGCAATACTTTCATGATTTATTCACTGATGAAGAAAATTGCAAAAACAATTTTTATTATGTTGCATACAAGAACACAGAAATATTCATATATATATATATATATATATATATATATATATATATATATATATATATATATATATATATATATATATATATATATATATATATAGAGAGAGAGAGAGAGAGAGAGAGAGAGAAAGAGGGCTCGAATTAATGTAAAAAAATCTAATCGCAAAAAAAAAAAAAATTTTTTTGCGATAAGATTTTTCTTATTTAATTGCAAAAAAATTTTTTTTGCGATTAGATAGGAAAGCAATCCCCCCTCCCCAAGATACTTCACTCCACTTTGTGGTAATGCGGGAGAGGGCAAGGGTTGGTGGCGATTGTATGTAATCTTTTGTACCTAATTGTGATTTTTTAACATATTATCTCTCATATTTATATATTATTTTATATAATTTTCTTGTTTGGCTATGTTTAAAGCATAAGTTACTGTTATAATTTACAGCTTAAGTTATAATTTATAGTTTAAGTTGCAGTATTAGTGTAATGAGCAAGTATATTTAATACTATTTATATTATTTTTATTGAAGTTCATGCTGATGATAAAACAAGTGTTACCTTTAAAGAGTATTTAATTTTAATTGTAAAAAGCTATAAAATAACAATGAAACAAGGTGCAAAGTTGTTTTGAAAATGTAAATAGCTTGTGGTAATGTAAAGCAACTTCGTGGCGCTGTTTTGTTGCTATTTTATACAGTTTATAACTTTAATAAAATAAAATGCATTTAAGATAAAACAAAGTAAATAAAATTGTTCTAATAAATAAATTAAAACAATATCATAAATAAAACTTCATATATTGCCCTAAAACATGCCTATAGACATTACGAGTATAAAATCTAGAGACCAAACGAGTAAGATCATAGCAAAATTATATTAGACACCATCCTTTTTATAATTTATTGTTTCTTGATATAGTATACTATTAAAAATTTAAGTATAATTAAATTTTTCATTCGAATGGTTTTTAAATTGATATTTTCATTTAAATTTTTTTATTCAAATTGTTTTCCAATAAAAAGTGAAACAAAAAAAATTTGTTTTAATAAGTCGAATTATATTTCCTTATGTTTAAGAATATGCTTAAATTATTTTTTTAGAAAAAAAATAATCTTTAAACAGAAGTAAAATAACTTAATTTTACGCTGTTGTTCGCGCAACAGTACCGTCGCTTTAATTTTTTAATTAAAGTCACGGTAGTGATTTCTGGTTGGTTGATTTTTTTTTTCTTTTAATTAAAGAATGCATGCCCAAACCAAAACCCTTAATTGATGTATGTACACTCACTGTGCCTATCCCTAAATCAGTGGTTCAGTCACTGCGCCTATCCATAAATTAGTGGATGTATGTACACTCACTGCGCCTATCCTTAAATTAGTGGATGTATGTACACTCACTGCGCCTATCCCTAAATCAGTTGATGTATGTACACTCATTGCGCCTATCCCTAAATCAGTCAATATATGTACACTTACTGTGCCTATCCCTATATCAGTCGATGTTTGTAAATAATATACATAAATGTAACTTTCAATATACAACAATAATAACTTTCAATAAAAAAAATTGTTGAAAAACATTTTTAAATATTATTTAGAGAATAGGACTTGATCCCGGAACTCCGTTAGTAATAAACAATTTAGATACCACAATGCTAAACGCACATGTTATACATGAAATTATTTTTAAATTTGTACAAATAAAACTTTCAAAATTAACCAATCATTTTCGCAGCTGTGACTTTAAATAAACCAATCAAACTTTACTACCATGACTTTAAGATAAAAAATTAAAGCAACGGTATCGTTGCGCTAGACACAACGTTAACTTTAATTTAAATTTTTTATAATTTAATTTTTATTTTAACTCTTGCAATCACTGGTTTAATATTTGCAATATACAATAAATAAACAATTTAGATACCACGATGCTAAATGCACATGTTATACATGAAATTCTTTTTAAATTTGTACAAATAAAACTTTCAAAATTAACCAATCATTTTCGCAGCTGTGACTTTAAATAAACCAATCAAACTTTACTACCGTGACTTTAAGATAAAAAATTAAAGCAACGGTACAGTTGCGCTAGACACAACCTTAACTTTAATTTAAATTTTTTATAATTTAATTTTTATTTTAACTCTTGCAATCTTTTTTTTTTTTTTAATTTGCATTCACTCCCAACAAGGCTGCAAGCAACCACTATTAAGTTGGGAGTTACTAGGAAAAAAAAAGAACAGAGTTATAGAGCAAGGAAAAGGTTGACAGAAGACTTGAAAAGTTGAAGGTTGTATGATGTTGAAGGTTGTATGCAATCACTGGTTTAATATTTGCAATAGAATGTTTCTACTTTTAAAACTATTTTCAAGAAACAATTATCATTAATTATTCAAAACGTTTAGGAAATTTACGATTTACGAAAAAAAAAACTTTCTTTCTCATTCTCCTTTGTTTCTTCAAATGCTTTTAAAATTTTCCAATTTTTTTTCAATTTCAAATTTCAATCGCAAAATTATTTGAATAAGAGAATTTAAGACTAAAATTATTTTGTTCAAATAGATTACTTTTTAAATGAAATTCCTAAAAACAACTTGCGTATTTATAGAAAATGTTTATCTTGATATCGCTTGAACTTTTAAACTCTTAATCGCTTAAACTCTTAAAAATATACATACTATACTGAAAATGATATATTAGGGATAAAAGCATCATATTTACATCCCAAACTATATTTTCAAAAAGATAAATAAACAGAGATCGTGTCTCTTTTTAAAAAAAATTGAAATACTAATGATGGCGGATACAAAGATCATGTGACTTTTGGAAATTTAAAAATTTTTTTTTACAAAAAAAAAAAAGTTTCGCTTTATGCCTTGAAAAAAGTTAACATAATACTTATTAAGACTCAAAACTACTGCATTAGAAAACAATGGTGCATTAGAAAACAGATAAAAATCTTAAAGATTTTTATCTGTTTTCTAATGCACCATTAGTAGTTAAAGATCTTTTGATATCTTAAAGATTTTTAAGTGCTCAAGCACTTAAAAATCTTTAAGATATCAAAAATTGTCAACAATTTAGCCAGAACCACAAAAATTCAACTAAATATAATACCACATAAAACAGTTTTATACCATAAAAGGCATCAAACTTGCATTCCAAAACTATATATTTTTTAAAAGAAGAACTCATAGACATCAATCTTTAAAAAAAAAATTAAGATATCAGTGATAACGGACATTTTAATCATGTAAATTTTGCTTAAAAAATTTTTTTTAATCAATATCAAACATTTTAAAAAAACTGTCAACTAAGGGATCGTTTACAAACTATGTCACTAAATTTTTAACTAATTGAAATCCCTCCATTCTCCTTGTCACAATATCATAACACTTTAATATCAAGTTATGTATGAGTTGTCAATAAAACAAAAAGCGTGATGTAATTTATGGACCCCTTATTTCTATTACGGAGCTTTAAAAGTTAGTTTATTACGGATAATTTTGAAGCTGAGCAAAAAAAACCCTTAAATTATTGATATTTTCTATAGGGTCATTAACGACTCGTTTTGGTGCAAAAGAGTTGAATAAAATAAAAATATATAAAATGGTATCACGTTTTTCATATTCTATTCGACAGTTTTTGTTTTTTAGTCAGAAGCTTATATTATGTGTTAACAACATATAAGATATAAATAGAAACTTTGTATGGGTAACTTTTGCAAATCTTTGAATATATTAAGTAAATTATTATAATTGATAAGTTCATATTTGAGTAACTCTAAGTTACTGTACTAACTTTATTGGTTGTTTTGATTTAGCTTATAAGTAAATTTACTGTGATGAACTATTCAGTAAATCAAAGTAAATATAACTTTCAAAGGTTCAAGGTTAAAGCAAAAAACGTTGAAGCAAATAAGTTGCTGGTTTCTATCAGCATTGATTGACTGTTAGAAATTTTTTTTTTAATTTTAACGAATTATTATAGCAGAGATTTAAAGTAATTTAAATTGAAAAAAATAAAAATTTCAGCGAGAAAGAGCAAATGCTTCTATTCAAAAATTAAACTAAGTGTGATGTACTTTATGACAAAAACATAACTTAAAAGAATTTCCAAAAAATGCTAAATTAAAAAAAAAGTTAAGTAACAACCAAAAAAAAAAAAAAAATTGCGAAAAAATTTTTTTAAAGAAAAACTTATCGCGAAGGTGTTAAAAGCAATCGCGATTTGCTATTGTGATACGCTTAATTCGAGCCCTGAATTGACTTTATAACTTAGAGTAAAACACTAAACTAAAGAAAAAAAAGAATAAATTTAAAAATAAAATAAAATAATAATAAAAACTAAAAAAAAAAGTTATGATATAAAATGATAAAAAACAAAAGTAGTAAAAACTAACCTCAAGTGCACGCATTTTTACACTATTTATAACATGTTCAACTTGATGTAAAGGTGGCCCTTCCAATATTGTCTAAATGTTATATTATAAATAATACATTTATATATTTATGTGTAATACATATTATATGTATATGTATGTAAAATATATACAAACTGAAGTTTTTTCCAATATTGTTCAAATGTAACATATATGTCAAATATGAATAAACTAAGGCTATTCTGATATTGTATAGATGTATTACATATATAAAATATTTTTTAAACATAATAATATAGGATTTGTTATTTTTACACATTGCTTGCAGGTACATTAAACAGCGACTTCACAAGGAAATTTTGATTGATTTTAAAATTAAATTGATTTTTTTATATACTAAAATGCAGATCATAATAGTAGTAGTAGTAGTAGTAGTAGTAGTAGTAGTAGTAGTAGTAGTAGTAGTAGTAGTAGTAGTAGTAGTAGTAGTTGTGGTAGTAGTATATATTTGTTACAAGAAAAGTAAAAATAATTGACAAAATACAAATCATAGATTTTCAGATTACAGTTAGTTTTTGTGAAGCTCATATTGCAATTTTCACTAAGGAAAGCTGCAAGCTGTAGTAACATTGGAGCTTATCGAGGCTCTCTTTAAAGCTGTTGACAGTTAGAAAATTGATTACTTTATCTGGTAGCATGTTCCATGCATTGACAATGCGATTGTCAAAAAAGTGGAAGCAAGCTAAATGGTTGCTGTACTTTTCATAATGAAGTCTTTTTCTGTGATTTGCTCTTGTGGAATTTTGACAAGGGGAAAGTGCCAGTTGACTATGTCAATGTTATTAATAATTTTTTATTTTTGGATGAGGTCACATCGTTTATTACGTTCAATTAGAGTAGATAGACCAAGTTGTAAACATCTGGACTTGTAGTCTAACTTTTTCAGTTTGTATTAGCTCAATAGTTTGTTCATCCTTCACCATATGAGAGTTCTAAGCTGGAATTGCAAACTCAAGTAAAGGGCGGATGTAGGTGGAGTAGAGTTGTTTCCATAAAGAAGCATCACGAAATTGGAAAGTGTGTTTTAGGATGCCTAGCATTTTATTTGCTTTACATGAGGCAATGATGGATTGGGTTTCTACTTTAAGATCATTGGTAATTTGAATTCCTAAGTCATGCTCAGAGCTGGTGGCTTCCAATGTAGTTTGAGTTGTTATTAAACAAGGGGCCAATTCCCCATTAAGTACTTAAGAGAAGTTAATTTTTTTTGGCCAAAGTGCATGACCTTGCATTTCTTTGCATTTAGCCCCATGAGCCAAGATTTGGTCCAATGAACAATTTGGTCAATATCTGATTGAAGTTAAAGTTAAGCAGCAAGTGAGTTGACAATGCACAGGATTTTAGTGTCATTAGCGTAGATCTTACAACTGTTTTCTTTGCTTATTACATGCGGCAGATCGTTGATGAAAATGACAAATAAAATTGGACCTAAGACTGATCCTTGAGGAACCCCACTTGTCACAGGTAACCAATTCGATTGAGTGTCAACAAGGATGGCTTGTTGAAACCTGTCAAGTAGAAAAGCTTTTATTCAATTAAGAAGATTACCTTCGAATCCATATATTTTTAGTTTGTAAAGTATTCGTTGATGTGGCACTATGTCAAATGCTTTGGCAAATTCCAAGAATATGATATCAACTAGTAGTTTTCTTGCCACATCTCTAGTCAAGAAAATTTTTTCAAGGAGATTGGTAATGCATGCTTTTTTTCTCTAAAAAGCCATGTTGACTATTTGATAGAAAATTGTTTGATTTTAGATGCTTTATGATTGCCTTCTTAACTAGTTTCTCCATTATTTTACATGGAATCGAGGTGATAGATATTGGTCTGTAGTTTAATAGGTCGATTCTGGAGCTTTTCTTAAATAAAGGTGCTACATTTGCTTTGGACCATGAGTTTGGAATTTCACCATTGTCAAATGACTTTTGAAAAATGAGAGTAAGTGCAGTAGACATTGAGGTAGAACAAAAGCGTAGAACCTGAGGACTGACATTGTCTACACCAAGTGATTTAGATATATCTAGTGATGAGAGTTCCATTAGAGTGGCCTGAGTGTCAAAAGTTATGCTGTTGGGGATTGTGTTAGTTTTATGATCAAAATGGTGAAGATTGTCATTGGATGGCTCTTTGCTAAAATCTGCTTGAAATTAATTGTTAACTGAGTTATCAATTTTAATTTTGTCAGAGCTAATGATTTCACTGGAACTGGTGATTAACATAGATGAGATCTGATTTATTACAGAGCATTTACTATTTATGTATGAAAATAGTCTTTTAGGGTTGCGCTTATCATTTGCAAGAGCAAATTCAAAAGATTTCAGAGAAGAACGACTTAATTTAACTAACTTTCTAGTTTCTATATATTCCTCAACCAGGGATGTGATTTTCCATTTTGAACTGACATTACGAGCCCACAGCAATTTTTCGAGACAAATCAGAGATAAAAGTTCTTTTGTCATCAATGATTGTTTTTTTGGGGATGGTTTGTTCAGCATATGAGGGTTAAATTGAAGACAACATTCATAGTATTTGTTTAGCTAAAGTTGGTAACATTGTTATACGTTTAAGTCTTTAAAAATAGATGACCAGTTAACCTTGAATTCTTTGTTGATTTTTTCATATATACCAAGGTTGTAAATAAATTTAGAGCTGTTAAAATGCGATAATTTTACGGTGGAAGCCAGTTTGTATTGCCAGGTGATAGAGCAATGATATTGATCAGATAAACTGAGCAGAGGACCAATGTTGATTTTGTTAGCACCATATGGAGAGTCACATATTATGAGATCAAGAGTTTTTGTCATGAGGCGATTAGCAGGTTTGAAAGTAGGGACAGTGATCATTTGGTGACGATGACAATCTTGAAGAAGAAAGGCAAATGGAGAACTGAGATCAATTTCACTTGAAGAGAAGACCGAATTGGAAGTCCAAGTAATCTCTGGGAAATTGAAATCACGGGCAATGATGATACCATAGTATTTTTTGGTCGATACTGATATTTCGGCTTCGATACCAGAAGATGGAAGTCTATAAATGCAGCCTAGGAGCAGAGTTCCATTCAGAAGCTTTAGTTCGACCCATAATTGTTTTGAATAGTAACGAATGAAATTTTTGTGTAGTAGGGATTCCTGTAGTTGGTTTGAGATGATTTTATTGTTTGTGTATTTAGTTACACCTCCGATTTGGTTCAGACGGTCTGATTGATAGTGGTTGTAGTTTGGAATAGAGGGAATTGATTGGTCGTTGAACCATTTGATAAAAATGTCAAAGGAGTTGTTTTCTGCAAGTAAGGAGAGTTCGATGAGTTTTATTGGATTGAGGGAGGTTGCGTTAGAGTAGAAGTACAAAAGACTAAATAATTTAATGGAAGAGCTGACTTTGTTTAAAAATGTTTAACTAGTAAAATGCTGAGAGCGATTGAACGGCCTCAGCTTGTTATTTTCATTTGAGGAATAGGTTCCTCTCTTTTCCATTTATGTTGACTGTTTCGGATGTGTCAATGCCTTTTATATTTTTGCTGCGGATGACAAATCGAAAGGGTTTGTCAAGTAAATCTTTTGCCAATAGTTCTGCATTTTTGGTAGCATGCTTTTTGTTTGTTGTTGAATGTTTCTTGTTCGAGAGATGTATGGTCTGGACGAATGTAGACAGATTTTAATTTGTCTATTGAGGCAAGTCATTTTGCATTAGATAAGAGATCATTGCGGTGCTCATTGGAGTCAAACTCAATGATGATCAATTGGTTCAGCTGCTATTGTTGTTAAACTGGTGGTATTGTTGAACTTTTTTGAGAAATGATTAACAACTTTAAAAGCAACATTGTAGTTAAGCTTTTTGAGCATACTTTGAACTGAAATTAGCCTCTGATTATTGTCAGAAGATTTTGGAAGACTGGCAACTATAGCTCTTTTAGACTTCATTTCTACAATTTTGGCATTTTCGTTGACTGCTGTGATAATTGCTTTATTGGCTTCTGAACCATGCTTGACTGCGCTTGCCCAATTGAGAGTTGTGGTCAAACTCGCAGGTGCTAACTTTGGTTGTTGAGAGTGATATGCTTTTAGAGTAATTTTTTAGTTTTCAAGTAGAGATACACGGGTGTATCTCGGGATAGAGATACACGGAAGTATGCTAACTGTGTTTTGATATTGTAGTAGCAAGCTTTTGAGAAGCAGCTGAATAGTTACCTTGACCTAAGCCTGACCAGTTGGCAGCTAGAGCTGCAAGTTAGTCAGTTAAATAAGGTGTGCTCATTATCACCAATGATTTACAAATTGCTTAATCTGATATTTTATATTTAATGAGGGCTTCCACTCTGAACAACAGTGGATTACTTCTTGGTCGAGAACGTTTTAAACTTTTTTACGAATGCGGTTGTAATATAAAGTTTGCGGTTAATGTAAATTAATGTTGCTTCGACTTGAGATTCGATTTCAAAAAAATATTTCGAGTTTTTTGAATCACTATTTATTTTGTGAGTGTTATTCTTTTTTCAGATATCAAACGATATGTGTTATTGTTTTTTCAAATATCAAAAATGACTTTAAACTGTTAAAGGTTTGGAAAAAAGAAATTAACACAAAAGGGTTATCAAAAAACATAGAAACAAGGTTGGTGATTTTTGCCGACCTCAGACACTTTTAGGTCAGCATTTGGCAATGCCGACCCTAATTGTGAGAATTATGTATATATATATATATATATATATATATATATATATATATATATATATATATATATATATATATATATATGTATATATATATATATATATATATATATATATATATATATATATATATATATATGCATATATTAATACACACACACATATACACTGCAGCTACAGCACAAGTTAATACAAAAACTTACTGAGCCATATCTAATATTGAACCTAAGGAAATCAATAAGCTCTGCTATGCAATCAATATCAGCTTGTTGTGCAGTTTTTGCTTGTCCAACCATGCATATTGCTAATGATTTGTATCTGTATTTTGTTGCAATTAAGCTTGAAGCTCTTCGAATGATTCGTGATCTAAATTTGATAATTACTGTTTCAAACAACACAACTAAAGTTTCAGAAATTTAGAAACTTTCAAAACTTATTATAATACCTTTATTATTTTTCTTAAAAGTTTTTTCAAAATTCTTTATTGTCATAAGCTGAAATTTCAAAATTAACTGGGGTTTCTCAATCCTCAGTTGGATTTATTTTGTGACAATATAAACAGACCCAATTTATTGAAAGAAAATCTGGATATGGAAAAAAGGAAGGTTTTGAATTTAAGATAAATGTAAAGCAAAATCTAACATTTGCTCAATAAAGGCAAATTCATCTCAGTCACAGAGATATCTTGTGAGAGAATTTAAATGCAGCTAATCTTTAATAGGAAAATTATTGCAAGGGAATAAATCATATCATAAAAAGAAAACTCCAAAGTGATCAATTGGTGGAGAAATTGAAGCAACTCATTTTTCAAAAAAACTATATAAACTTATGAAATGAGAAAACTTGTGCATTATTGATAAAAATAAAGCCAATTGCAAAAAGGACTTTTCACAATTAACAGGCCAACAATATTGTTATTAGTTAAAAAGTAGATATATCATAAAAAAAGATAAGTTTATAAATGCATATTCAAACTGAGAAACTTATTCTCAAGTTTCTTATATGGCAAGCAATCTGGTCTTGTGATTTAAAAAGTACATTACTTGAAAAACTTTACACAAAAAGTTATGTATATAAAAGAAACTTTTACGAAATGTTTTTTGACAATTAATAAAAAGCACGGTATGCCAGCAATATTTAGACCTAATTTGGCTACAATCCACTGCTCCGATAAGTCTTTAAAAATGGTATGAACAAAAAGGCATAGAATTTGTTCCTAAGAAAGTAAATCCTCTAATTTGTCCTCAGCAACGAGTTATTAAAAGTTTATGGTCAATTATAAGAGGAGTCTTATATAAAAGAAAGAAATTACCTTTAGATAAAAATGATTTTTAGAAAAAATGGATAACAGCTTCAAAAAACCCAAAGCAAGATCAAAACATGTGGACAACAAAAAACCAAAGAATTTTTTTTTAATAAAATTAATTATAAATAGGTTAATGAAAAGATGAATCATAATAATCATAAATGAATTTTATAATTTGATCAATTAAAAAACAAAAAGTAAAAATGTTACCTTGTTACAAAAAACTTACCTTGAATCATAAGACATATTTTCCCATTTATCTTTGTTAATAAGTGCATTTTCTATTCCATTTTCAATTAGACTCTATAAATATTAAAGCAATTTAAAATTTAAAAGATTTTTACAATTATTATTTTACGTATATATATATATATATATATATATATATATATATATATATATATATATATATATATATATATATATATATATATATATGTGCAATTCCATTTTTAACTTAAGTTACACGCGCAACAACTTTATCAAATATTTGCCTATTTAAACTATAAATTTTAGCTTTACTTTTAGCTATTATGCATGAAAGCTGTTAGTCTTAGGAATAAAATAAGCAAAAAAATTTGTAGTCTGGCTGAAAGAGGGCAAACTTATTACTGAAAATGCCACTTAGCTTACATTACACGAAAAACTAGGTAAAAAAATTGTTTCAATTTCAAAGTCATATTTTTGCAAACCAGTTAAGTGGTTTGTATTACAAACTTTCACAAGATGTTAAGAATTCTATGCCAATTTAAAAAATATATAAAATTTTATCGGAGTTGACCGGGTAAGAAAAATAAACTGGTTTTTTTGATACTATATATCTAACTTACGTTACCTTGCAAATGTTATCGTGGATTTTTACTTCTATTATTTTGAGTTAACGTAAAAAATCAATTTCAAAGATATTGAACTTATTCATTAAAAATAATTAACAAAGAAAATTTTAAAAAACTGGTGGCACTCTTCCTGAGTGATTTTTTATAACATTTATAAAAGTCATCAAATCAAAAACAGTTTTTCCACAAGACCAAGAGCAACTTTAAAAGATTGCTATAGTATTACAACTTTTTAAAATTTATTTGAGTCATTTAAATAAGAAAATCTTTGGTTTGTCAAAGTTTTTACTTACACTCCTTACGTTTATGCATATTGTCTTATTTTCATTAGGTTGAATTTTTAAAATGCTGCAGAATATTTACATTTAAATCTTTTGAAATATTTTTGAAGAAAAACTGCTATCGCAGTTTAGGAGGGAGAGGGATTCAGGTATATGTGATCGTCTGTGACAGGAGGGAAAAGGTTAAAAATTGACAAATATAGGGTGACATGCTTTATGGATGACCCATAATAGCATTTACAAACGATTTGCTGTACTAAAACAAATACAATAAAAAAATTTAACTGATTTTTTTTATACTAGGAGAATAGCAAATCTGTTGTTTTTTTTTTTAATTTCTAAAGTCAAATAAAATAAAAATACATAAACAAATAAAAAAGCAATCATATAAATAATTTTAATTAACATTAAAATAAAGAAGAATTTTTCTAAATTCTCTTATAATTTATTATATATTCTAAATATAAAAAGCAGTTAAAACCTTGTAAACAAAATAATAATTACTTAATGACATAGTTCATTTTGTTAACAAAAAAGCACCAGAATTTAAGAAAATGTTTGTAGTTTTAACTTACGTTACACAAATTTAAAATAAAATTAAGCTCAAACTAAGCGTCGTTATTCAAAACTTTAAATGCAAAAATGTAATATTTAATATTCTTTGGCATATAATATTAAAAAACTTAAGTTTTTTAACTAAATTTTATAACAAACAAAACTTTATCATGTTTTTGTTAACTTATGTTACATGAAAATTGCAAAAGTTTATTCGTTATTTTCTTAAAATATATATATTTTATAAAGTATAAAATCTAACCAACAACAATTTGAACATGTTAGCTCCAATTTCACGCTTATTTAATTCTGATTATACAAATAAATTCATGATTAGAATAACATTTTACAATGACACCTTTTTTATCATGCGACAATGAGAAAAACCGTAAATCTCTGGGGCATAAAAATGACTTAAATAAATTAATTTATTCCACATTGATCATTTCTATACCTATTCCTTATTTACTTCAATATTTTTTAGTAAAATAGTTCATTCTGAAAAATTTGTTCAAGAGCAAACAAAATTAACATGAAACCTTTTCCACATACATAGAGCTCATAAGAAATTTATAATTAGGTTTGTTTTTCTGCTTAACAAATATCATTGATAGCCCAGTGATTTAGTAGGCTGTCATCAGTGTAATTATATATACAGCAAAAAAAACATCTAATTTTAAAATAAAATAAAGTTTCCTCATATTATACATATATTATACACAATTGTTTTATTTACCTCCTGCAAACTCAATGTTTACACTTACAAACATTTGTACATAACGCAATACTAATGGTGGAACTAAGAAGATGACGTAATATGAGCAAATCTAAATTTGAAGTTTCAAGTTCGATTTTAGATTTGACGAGATTTTAAACAAGACTTAGCTTGAATACTTAATAACTTAAATACAAAAATTCAAAACAAAACAGTTTAAGCAAAAAAAAAAAACTTGTAATTACTTCTATAAAACATTGTATAAGTGGATTTTTTACATGAGCATATAACATATTTGTTAATTATTTTATATTAGATGCAATGCAATAAGGCTGCGCATATTTAGAGAACCCGCTAAAAAAAGTGTTGATTAATTGCAATTAAAGACCCCAGTGCAAAAATGATGTAACTCCACTTTTTGGTCAATTTTCAGGTTTACACATATTATTACTACTTAAAAAAAGCTCTGTTGGTGCTAACAGTTGGTGCTATAATAGCTTTGATCAGAGCACTACTTATGCCATTCAACTCAAGATAAAAATGAATAATACTTATTCCCTACAATCACTTGGTGCATAAACGAAGTAACTCCGGAGTTACCGTCTTTTTGCACCGGATGTATTCTCTGTTTTCTACGCTTGGTTTTGAGTTTTATAGTGATTTTGAAAGACATGCAAGTTTGGTTGAATTATTTGTAGTGTTTATTCAAGTCTTATACTGCATTACAGTATGGTATAAATCTAATTGTCAATTAAAGTACCTAATGGACATTATTTATTAGAAGAAATAATATGGCTATTTGTATTGCAAGTGACAGCAGTATATTTGACAATTCGGTTAAAGACACAAATTTTGTCCTTAACAGCACTATGTCTAGTGTAAGTAGCATTTGTCTCTAATGCAAGTGTCGATATTTCAACCTTAATACAAAGTACTTCTGAAAGTGACTCTGAAGTAAATAAAATAAAACTTACAAGAAAACGCATCAAAAATTGCAATGCTTGGAAACGAAATATTGCTAAGAAAAGGAAAGCTAAAGGAAAGACTTACATAGGGTTCAAGAATAGTAAAAAAAACTCTTAAGCAGGAGAGAAAAACTGGAAACCCTTGCAACTGTAGGACAAAATGTTTTGATAAAATATCACATATTTTAGAAACTTTCAACAGCATTCGAGATAAAGAAAAACAGGATGTTTTTATTGGAGGACAAATTCAAATAAAATCAGTTGAAAGATGTAGGCCTAACTCTGGTAACAGCCCAAAAAGTTCATGTTCTTGTGTATATACAATAAAAATGGGAAAAGAAACAAAGATGGTATGTAAAATAGCCTTTTGTGCAATATATGGAGTGAGTGGGAAAAGGGTTGAACGTATTGTTAAAAATTTGCAAGAAAATATTCCTGCTCCAAGAGATAACCGTGGAAAACACAGAAACTGTCCAGTTTAACTATTCATTTGGTAAGCCTCGATCTGATACCTGCCATACATGTGAGCGATTGGATAAACTTATTGCAGCAGAAGAAGTCATTAAGGTTAAAAAGGTTTTTTGTACTTTTGCTACTTCTACACACAAATGAAAGTTGATATTGCTGAAGTAAAGACAAGTAATAAAGAAGTAGAGCTATTAACATTTGACTATCAGCAAAACATGCCCCTGTCTCACTTGGTAAATGGTGATGTTTTTTTCAAACGCCAGCTTTTGGAATATAATTTTTGTATATACGCAGCCAGTTCTGAAAAGTCTTATTTCTTTATGTATGATGAAACAGTTGGCAAAAAAGGGCAAAATGATGTTGTAAGCTGTCTGCATTTTTTTTTTCAAAATTTCCTTGCTGCTTCAGTCAAAAAGCTCTACTTGTATTCTGATAACTGTAGTTCACAAAGTAAAAATCATACACTTGCTCGTTATCTATATACTTTAGCTCATACTAAAAAATTTGTCAATATAATTCATCGATATCCTGAACCAGGACACAGCTTCTTACCTTGCGACCGTAGTTTTGGGTTGATTGAAAAAGAAAAGAGAAAGCGAGAAAGAATACTTTTAACAGAAGAGTGGGTTTCTTTAGTAAAAAATACTTGTCGCAAATTTACTGTTGTACCAGTAACCAGAGAATTGTTCTTGAACTTTAGTAGCCATTTCTCTAGTTTGTTCAAAAAAAAGGACTTAAACAAGCGGAAAGAAAAATTTTCAATTTTATCTTGTGATGGATTACTCACAAAATTATGTACAATGTAGCAGCTTGGCAAGTGGTTTTTTGAAAGAAGATTTTGTTCTTCAAAAATGTGGAGTCTGTCTGACTTTACCAAATAATGACATTCAACTGTATTCTGGTCCAATACCAGTTAAGCGCCCGAAGTATTTACAAGTAAAAGAACTTGCAGCCAAATATGTTCCACCGAACTGTATGTGGTTTTATGACACGTTGAAGTGCCAGGGTGCAGAACACGATAGTTCACTTTCTGAGGATAGCTTCACAGACTAAAATATTTTTTTTATTGTGATATATTATTTTAAATAATGAAATACAGTATGTAATTTATAAAATGTGCTTGTTTGTTATTTGTCATTTCTGGTAATCTTTTTATTGGATTTAAATAAAAGAATCATCCACAAGAAAACAGCTAAAGCCTATTTAATACATTTTTTAGGAAATTTAACTTAGTAAATGAATAAATATAGCGCTTATGAAACTTTTTTGGGGTATTTCTAGTCTTGTCTTGTCGGATCTTGATAGTAACAAATTTAATTTTATTTGCTTTGTGCAAAAACGAGCTAACTCCATGAGTTTATTTTTTTTATATTGTCGTTAGTATTGATGATACAAAAACATTCATTTTATACTAAACTACTTAGAACTTGTGTAAAAAATTGAGAGAATATAAAAATTTCAAAGTTAATCAGTTTTTATTTCT